GTTCATTTCAAAATGTGACACAAAATGTTCGAATTTGGTCGCTCTGGGGTTCATTTACACAACATAACATATAGCGTTTTCAGATACAGGTAAAATGTCCACGACTTAAAAATCACTTTTACAGTAAGCCTTGTAAATGGTATATTTATTACACTACCGTTCAAATGAAGAAAATCATTGAACATTCTTGATTTACATACGACCGTGATTAATACCCACAAGTTGTGTTCATATTTACACCCTAACTATGTTTATCTGAATATGAAACTAGCAAGAAGAGCGCACTAAGTTGTAATTCAGATCTCTTCAAAAAAAGTCAGATTTTGTTTAGCATCCCTACTATCACACCCACCCTCCCTAGGAAAAAACCATAATCCTGAAGATAGATCAGTCAGTTCCACAATCACTCACGTCTAACTGCACATTCCCCCCAGTAAAGTTTGGTCTAACTGCTCATTTGCCCAAATACCTCTCTTAGTTGCTTATTTTGGAATGGCCCAATACATTACCAGTTTTTTATTCTTTGGTCACGGAGCATCCGATCCATCCGGATTATTCTAATCAACATAGGGGTGGTACATGTGAAGACGACCTTCCTAATTTATGTTAATATATTGCCGAGATGTGTGACACACAATGTAAAATATTGCGTTTGAATATCCATTTCATCGCACGATATTTCAGTAAATTGTATACCCTCAAATCCCTATCTGATAAGGATATAACTTTGCTTACTTATATTTACGATCCTCACACAACCCATGCCACCAGGAATATGTCAAGTTTGACTTCAATAAACTCGGAACTAGTTTTTTTTTCAGGATCTATTTGGAAACGATTGTTTCATCACCCACGACCGTATACTGTTTTGACAATCAATGATTTAGTTTATTCACTATATTTTCCGTCATTAAAAAAAGAAAGCAAAATAATAAGTATGACTGTATTCTTATAACATCCAGAATATGTATAAATTGGCAAATTTGAATTACATGAACAAATATTGTTGGTAACGTTTTTGTTTTTCTAATTAGTATTCTCATTCTGGTTTATTTTATGTAAAGTAACTGTTTTACTTCTACTCTATTTCGAGAAAAGCACTTGTAAAGAATATTAACAAAATAAATAAATTCACAAAAACCAACTAGTGGAATGAAGTAAAAAATGTAACTTACCGCAGTTTGTATTTTATGGGCTTCAACTGTGAACACAGTTTCAATATGGTGAGATGAATACCTGCACCCTGGCTATGTATTATATATATATATATATTACATGATTTGCATATTCAATCAGACTTACCGGATAAAATATGATAAAAGGTCAGACGTGTTTCGGGTATCAGACTACATGGCGGGAAATGCAAAATAAAGGCTAGAAGAAATAACAAACAGATGTGTTTTATTGGTACTTTACTAATGTTCAGACTCATTACAGTTGTGTTTTTAGAGGGTTCCCCATAATTGCAGAAGCTGAAGCCTATGGGGCCAATGGTTGCAGAAAGGATAGTCTATGTAACGTCTGTTTAGATAAATTAATTCAAGAAACTAAAATTAGATAGACAATTATTTGACACAACTGATGGTGGTCATACCGTTTAAGTATCCCAAAATGCTATACCGTTATAACTATAGTAACATATCGAGTGATGTAATTAGTCATACATATAAAATAAAATAGAACAACAATACTACCTATTTGGCAACTGTTGCAGGATGGGCACAAGAAAGTGATATATTTGTGCAAATATGATGTTACAAGGAAATAAAGTGTCAACAACAAGTAATGACAGGCAGCCAGTTGGTGATGGGATGATCTCACACCACAGTAAACAATAGAAATGTGGAAATTGATTCCAAGTGAGTATGTAAAACCCAAACGAGATATTCAGCTTGAGTGGAGAAAATTGGAAAGCCATCGAGATTAAAATCAGCACAATTATCAAATGCCTTCAGTACTATACTGGTTGACAATTGTGCATAATAATGAGTTCACATGACGATATATTAGTCATCTATCGTCCGATATCATAACAGACATGTCTTTTTGCAAGCACAGCATGAAATCTCGTGTCTCCGGCCCGGTTACACAACGGTTACATAGTGGTTATGAAGAATGACTGTGCGTAACCGTCAGAGTAACCGTCGC